AGTTTTCCAGTGGGCCTGGGCATGTGGCATTCCAAGGATCCTGAAAGAATAGGGCATCTCTTTTGCAGGTCACAGGAAATGGGTAGCTATCCAGCTAAACAGATTTCATGCTTGACTTCAGTGGAATAACTCAAATGATGATCTGTTTGAGAGACTAAATTAAAGAGGTAAGTGGGCGTGCTGGTTTTATTTGGTTTAACTTTTGCTGGTTCCATTGCTCCCCTAAGCATTTTTTAAAAATATAGACCTCTTCTCCCAGCATCCCCCTCTCCCAAATTCTGGCCAGATCCTGCTTCTCAGGTAGCAGTAACTTTGAATTAGCTTGGAGGGAAGGCCTTACCAGGATCTCCTTTCTCTACAAGATAATGAAAACATGACTACTCTTTTCTCACAACTCCAAATACAGTCCCTCGGTATCCACTGGGGATGGGTTCCAGAACCTTCCAAAGATACCAAAATCCATAGATGTTCAAGTCCCTTATATAAAATGACATGGTATTTGCATATAACCTATGCATATCCTCTTATGTATTGTAATTTAAGCTATCTCTAGATTACTTATAATACCTAATACAATGTAAATGATCTGTAAATAGTTGTTATACTGTATTGCTTAGGGAATAATGACAAGAAAGAAAAGCCTACGATGTGTTCAGTTCAGATGAAAACATCCATTTTTTTTTCTGAATAGTTTCCATCCGAGGTTGGTTGAATCCACAGATGTGGAACCCAGAGATATAGAGGGCCAACCATACTGAGTCCCGACTTCACCTATTCCTCCTACCCCCATTTCTCCCGATCCTTAACCTTCCTTGCAATTCTTGGGCAGAATACTCATGAAGGAGTCAGGGGTTGTCTTCCCTTCCTAGAAGCAATGCTTCTATGTTCTCATTCGATGTTGAATAAAACATTAAACAGAAAAGGTTTCATAATATCACATAACTTGGTTCACACCATGAAAACTAGTGAGATCCCCAGTTCCTCAAAATCTGGGAACAATATGCTTCATATTGCTATCTAATATGACCCACCAACCCCATCTTCCACCCTCCACCTTCCCCTTGCATCCTAACCTTCCATTTCATCATGCAAGCTGCTAGAGTCGTGAGTTGTTTCTGAGATGAGTGAAGGACCACTGACATCTATGTCTTCCGTAAAGAGTAGTGTAGACATGGCTATAACCACCACCTCCTCCTCTCTTCCCCATTAATGTCACCTAAATTTTGAATGTTTGACTGTGTTATTTTCAAAGAAACTGTAGCAGATTCTGCACATGACATTCTTCCAAGGCACTGTAAGTTCTCTGTAAAAAGCTAAGGGTGTCACTTGTTATCAGGACCTCTAGCCAAGTTGTTGAAGTTGACACAGTTTTATTAGCTCTGTTTTTGCAATAGTCTGTCTCATTCTGGAGACAAATGGGGAAACTGCCTTCACGCTGGGTTTGTTTTACAGCTCTTAGATGTGTAATGCAAATGAATGATGTTGAGCCATTTCCAACCTGTGGTGATGGGTGTCAGTTTCTTGGACACCACTAGGAAATCTGTAAAACTGAGCCACGTCATAATGATTCAAAGGCAAGCTGTCCTGGAGACAGGGCTGGACTCTGTGACTCACAATTAGAACTCCATGGTTCTAGTTCTGACCCTTCTTATGACTGTGTGGCCTTGGATAGGTCCTTTCATTTTGGTTCCATTTCCTTATCTATAAAGACAGAGACCTGGATGAGCTCTAAGTCCATTCCAGCTCTGTCATTTTATTATTCTAATAAATGAATCACCAAAAAAGTCGTGAAAACATCCAATCAAGAAAAATAACTGTGATTCTGTTTTATATAGTGTTAAAGATTCCCACTTGACTTTTGAGTCTCTTTACTCAGTATGTGTACCCCAAAGTTCTACTAGATTCCCATAAACTAGTCTTTAAAATTGACCCTGGGCCAGTATAAAATCCTGTCTTATTATAAGGCCCAGATTCTGAGTTGTAAGAAGGTCTGTTTAAAATGGTATGTTTTTCTTGCAGCAATTATTAAGTGGTCAGGTTTTATGATGTTTTAACATTCATTGCCATTCATTATCTAAACACTGTTCTATAATCCAGGGAGTGTGAGGTTAATAAGTAGAATGGAATTCATTCTGGGTTTGATTTCATCTGCTGATTCTAGTGGAAGACTCTTTATATCTGTTCCTTCTTTCTCAACATGTTTAAGCAGAGAAGCTCTGGCTCTCTGTTTATGACCTTAAAGCTCTTTGACTTTGGGGAAGGAAAAAATGTTGCTGTTTTCAGCCCCACGTTTAACAACTGTAAAATGTGGTGACATGTCATAGAAAGAGAAATCCATTCATCCTCACTACATTTTTGGGTGATTTAAATATTCACCATATTGTCATATGGTGAATATTTAAGTCACTTACGTGTCTTTTTACTTTTAAAACAGAGAATTTTTCCACCTGTATAATGTTCATGAGTTCTAATGTTTTAATGTTACATTAATTCATCTGTTCCATTTTATAATGCTCCAAGAGGGAACAGTGGAGAAAGAAAGCTTCAGAGTACATGATGGACATTTCACAGTCCAGTTGCTTCTCAGGCAAAAGGCAACCATGCTGAACCTGCTTCTAAATGTTCTACTCCACCTATTAAGATTATGGATGCCACAGATGGGTTTCTGGAAGGCTGTGTCGTTTTAACCAAGTCATTCTCCCATTCAACAAGGCACTCACTCTCTTACCTTCCCATTTCTGACTCCACCACCACCGCTCCCTCCTAAGTACACACTAATACTTGGACTACATTCACCAAAACATATAGTTTCATTAACTGATTGCTTTGCTGCACTCCAAATGGCCTAACATTTTGTAGCTGAAGGAGTGTAAATCATGCCTTATGTGGGCTACAGTAGGATGTGATGTTTAGAGAAAGGAAAATATGCTTCCTTATAGAAGCAAGAAGCACTAAGCCATCTGGATTGTAAAGAAAAAAAATTTGGTCATTTATTCTGATGTTTTGTCTGCGTAGTACCAAACATCTGGAAGCTGGGTGACAGAATTTTTCACATCCAGATGTTTTTGCATTATACTGAAACATAGCTATATATTTTTAAGAATTTAAATAGTAAAAGCATAAAAGATGTACTAATTTCACATTTTGAGGTAGGAAAGATAAATGAAACTGAGGCAAACTTTTGGCTGGTTCTTCATGTAATACACTATTTTTTTCAAAAGTCACTTGCTGCAACTAAACTCTTAGAATCAAAATAACTATGAAGAAATATCCCCAGAAATACTGAATGTCTGTCATTAAAAGCACAATTTAGACTGTTGCTTAATAGCTGCAATGTTCACATAATGCAAATTCAGGTAACACTTAGATAGTTAAAAGCAATTATTCTGAAATCTAATTAGTAGTTTAAGAGAGTTTCATTCCAAGTGACTCTGAACCCATTTGTTCCTTCCACACAAATGAGAATGCATGATCAAGGTTCTAATGGGACTTGCAAGGAGACTTTTCAGGCCTTTTCAAGAATCGGTTTTGAGAAATGCTTTTCATGATGCAAAATAAAAAACTAAGATTCCATCTAGTGGAGCCACCTTGAACGCTTGTCACAAGAACACAGGCAGAAAGGAGTATTTAAGCATTCTGTAACACGACCATTTGAAAAAAAGTAAAATATTTTGTGTCGTTTTGAGAACTGCATTTTTCTTGTCCTCTCACATTAAGTGGCCTTGGATCTAAGGCTTGTTGGAAGACATGTTCAGAACCTGTTTCCTTGTATTGGAAGACACAGAAATCTGGCTCTCAACTGCCAACAGGCTTCGTGGGCATTGCTATGCCATGAGAATTCTAATATATTTTTCATTATTTCCACAAAGGCATATAGAGTGTGTGCATTACACACAGCAGTATAATTGAGCTCAACTGGCCTGGTGCCGCGTTTTTGCTGACTCAGCACATGGTTTCTCTTTCCCAGATTACTAAAACAACTTTCCTCTGAGGTAAAAGCTTCGCAGGAAAGCAAAGGGGAATAGAAATACAGAGGGGCCTTATTTTCACCCTTAATTATACCAAGTCCAAAGGCAAATGCAAACTCAGACCGAACTTTTTGAGGCTTCAAAAATAAAAAAGGTCCCCCTTTGCTTCTCTTCCCAACCCCTGCACCCGTGGGAGTCACAGTAAATTAGAACCCAGCTTGTTTTTCAACGATGAATTTGCACCGGGCCTCTTCCGCTTGGAGTGGCGTCCTTGATGCGGACTGCCCGTGCCTTTTTTACGCTTTGTCTACAGTATTTTAAGCGAGACAAGCCAACCTCGTTTTGTATGGACTTGCACCAGCAAACATTTAGGAGTTTCGCATCAAGGATACTGCATATCCCAGACACTGCGTACAAATTTTTAGGACTTGGGGTCACAACACTTATTCCCCTTCTCCGCCCGCTTCAACGCTAGAGCCTGCAGGAGATTTAGGGTCGTGTGTGCGCACTGGCCCACAACATACTACTAAGTGGCAATGGCCGGTTCCCAGACGCATCGAACGTCCTTCAAGTTCGGTTCTCTGCTCCCTGACACACTCAGCCATTAGTGCAGCGGGAATCACTGGGCTCCGATTAGCTCGCAGGACCGAGGCAGGCGGAATACCGTGAACCTCCGGTCTTCCCCCCCACTCCACAAGGTCCCCATCTCCCCCATGACCCGCTCGCTAATCAGTGCAAATGCCGTAGGAGGCCAGGCCCGCAACTGGCATTCCAGAGAGCGCGGACCACCAGCCGAGCTTTAAATAAGTGCAGATGTGACAGACAGGGGAGACCCAGGGAGGGCCGCCTCTCCCGCCCAGCACCTCCCTCCGGGCTCAGGCCGGTGCGCCGCGGGCAGCAGCCATGCACACAGGGCGCCCGCGGGCCTTAATATCGCCGGGGACTGGGGCGCATACCAAGTGACGGCAAAGGGAACAGAGGCCCGCGAGTTCGGGGGCAGCGCAGGAATGCTGTGAGCCCTGTCACCCATACCTTCCGTGGCCCCACGGCTTCTTCCTGAAGAGGCTGGGGGATAGCCGCCCACCCTCGCCTCCACCGGTTCGACCGTCGAGAAATCCCGAACCCGGCTGGCTGGAAAGCCGCGAAGGCCTGGCTCTTCCGCCGCAAGGCCTAGCCCCACCGCCGACAGCCGGGAATCGCCCCCACCCCACACGGAAATGCACCCTTCCCGTTCCCAGCCCCGAGCTGGGCGCCTGGTGAGAAGCGAGGTTGTAGGCGTCCCTGCCTGCGGGCGGCGGTGTGCGGTCCTGGGCGTGCGGGCCGCGGCGCGGGCACAGCTCAACTCCAGGACAGCGCCACGCGACCGCCACCGCGGGGTGGGGCCTAACCCGGGGCGAGAGACCTCCCGCGGAACGGCGACCCTCAGCCTCCGCTCCAGCCCGACTGCTGGCTCCGCATCTACAGGGATGGTGGGAAAACGGAGAAAAGGAGGAAATGGACCCTGGCGCGCCCCGGTGTTTCGTCTGCCCGGAGCCCGACTCCGACTGTCTTCACAACCACCACCCCCAACTTCCCTACCTCGGGCGGCTCCATTCACCCCATCCCGGGGCGGGGCTCCCAGCCCGCGCGGCCATTCTCGCCTACGGTCTCACCCTCCAAACCGGGCTTGGCTTCGGGTCCAAGCAAACCCGCTTTCGCCCGTCCCCGCCCGTCTCCACGGGTGCCATTCCGTTCGCCCGGAGGGTGCAGGGGTTCGAAGCTGCACACCACTTGGCTACTGCCCGCCGCCCTCACCCCACCAGACCCCGTCTCCGCGTCCCCCCGGTTCCCCGGTCCGTGGCACTTCCCTCCCTCCAGTCCGCGCGCCCGTCCGCCGCAGGAGCGGCTCCCCGCCTTAGCCCGCAAGCCGCGAGGTGCACGGCCCTCTCTACCGAGAAGCCTGGCCGCCCCGGGCCTCCCAGTCGGCCTCCAGCGCCGACATCCGTTTCGGCGCCCACTCTTCGTTCTGCGCCCCTAGACGCCCATCGGCTGCGGGAGAGGCTCCCGGGAAGCTCGGCGGGGCCCCGCGCAGAGCCCGCCCGCCGGAGCCGCTGTGCTGCGAGCGTTTCCCCGCGCCACCAGTCAGGCAGGTCGCGGCGCGAAGGGCTCTGGGCGGAAGCTGTCGACACCGGCGGGCGCTGCACCCTACACTCCCCGCCGGCCGTCCTCTGTGCGCAGCGCCCACAGCCACGTGCGCGGAGCCCAGCGGCACCCGGCCCGGGGCCGCCCAGCCCCCGGCGCCGGAAGGGGCCGCCGCGCCCGCCCCGCACCTGCAACCTCCTCTCCCACTTGCCTTTCCATCTGCACGCGGAAATGCCACGGGCTTAGAACAAACTTTTTCTTTTTTTTCCAGCGACATTCACGAGAGAGACGAAGAGGACACGGTCATTCGAGTGCCGAGGCGCGGAAGCGCGAACTGCGCGGAGCGACCTGGCTTGGCGCACAGACTCATTTACCAAGCTCGAGAGGCGGCAGCAATGCGTGTGCGGGAAGGGGAGCGGTTCTCAAAATACAAAGTGATAAAACAGCTTCCAGTTGTGTTGAAAAACGATGCAAACCCTCAATTCCTTTTTTTCTTTTTTGGACCTGGCGGGACCTGGAAGTGCCGGTTATAAAAAAAGAACAAAACCTTGAATTTATTGGTGGAAGTCCTATTAAAAGAGCCCAACACAGGCATATGAGACAAACTGCAAGGTGATCAGACGACCATGCTATACATTGAGGGGACAGTCAAATGAATTTTTCTATTATTTTGTAAAGTGCAAAATTTAGCTAAACAATTTTAGCTAGTGCAAAATTTGCTGTAGGTTTCCCTAGAGCAAACGATCTCAGATAATATGGTTACTTTCCTAATGTAAGAATTCTTGATGAGGTATCACCTAAAACAGTACTCACAAGGCTTCTGATCGTGTAACATAAACAGCAGGACATAACCAAGCTAAAGACCTTAGTCTCCTTGTGTAAATACTTAATTCCATCATTCAAAAATAGTTGTTGGTTTGTATATAATTCACCGCAGAGCTAAACATAGCTGCCTTTTCATGAATAGTATCCCAACTTTCCTCCGACCCCAAAGAAGACAAACTCAGTGTCAGTATTTTGTTCTTTAGTGGGGAATGAATTGCCCTCTTCAGCTGCCTGAGGTGCTCCGGAATGAGATGTTCGAAGCGTTCCTGTAAGGATAGCCTGGGTGATGGTGCAGGTGTGGGCTGATTTAAATTACTTGCTTTTGTGTTTTTCCACAGGGTCAAATGTAGGCACTGGTTTTAGGGAAGGCAGAGAGAGTAAGACTTCCTGAGTTAAAATGCCCATGTGCCCAGCCTCAGATAAAAAAGATAATACAAACCTGACAAGGCATTAGCTGATGCATCAAATGATGTGCCTGTCAGCATGAATGTCATCAATAAAAAAATTATTTAATATTTGCACTCAATTAGTCAAATGATTCCACCATTTTAAGAATTTTCACACATAAGAAATTAGTAAAATAATCAGTCAAATATTCTACACTCATTTAATGGTAAATTATCTAGCAGCAGTATACTTATTTAATTTGTTGGCATATTTAATAGGGAATTGGTGTGGTTAAAAATGGGGTGCAAGAATTTCAGTTAATTTTTCTAGACTGGTAGAAAATACTAACAAAATTACTCAAGAATTTTTTTAAAAAATCATTTTGGAACAAAAGACAAACGTCAGGAAACAATATCAGAACAGACTTAACATCTGAAGATATTAGGGAACTGAGTATATGGTTTCTTAAGACAAAACCTCTTAGTGGCTTTTTAAAATCTCTGCTAAATCACATAAAATGGGCTTTAGGTTATTTTGTCTTAGGTAAGTGGAATTTCTTGTATACCATCATAAGAAACTAAAAGCTCTGTTGGTTTTATTCCCTAAGTATCAGTAATTTAAATTCTCTGAATATAATTGACCTCATTATGTTGAATCATAGGACATAAAAGCTACCAGAGAATCTCTTTATATATAATTATGCAGATCAGTAGAAGTTTTTAAGTCACTAATAACTAGACGTATAAATTTTCTGGGTTGAAGGAGTGACTGTAAATCTATCTTATATAATTTTCTAGCCATCTTTTAGTATCAGATAAATTATAGCATATAAACATCCTTGGGATCAGTTTTATTTATTATAAGGAAATTATTTTCTTTGCTGTCAGGCATTCCCATGAGGGCAAATTCTTATTATATTTTTGAGAGCTGTTAAATTTGATGATTAAACAAATAACTCCACACCAGTGCTCAGAAAAGTTCCCAGACTATTAATAATATTTTACTTTTGAGAAATGCGTTTAAAAATATAAAATTAGTGGCATTAATATTGAATTTGCATAACCAAGAATCTGTGCATAGAACAGGAAATATGTGCAAATAAAAACCAAATATTGAGGTCCAGGTGGAGAAGGACATTAAAAATTATGCTTGGCAGAAAAATAATCTATTTTACCAACAGTTCTTAAGGTCTGCCCTTTACGATGATGAAACTGCCCAGGCACCCCCTCACCAGCCTCGAACAATTGCAGCTGTGTGTATGTGTTGTGTGGTGTTTTTTTTTCCCCCCAATTTCAATCTCCACTTAGCCTTTGCAGAGTAAAGAAATAAAGGAAGAATGAAAATCTTGAGCTAGCCTGATACCTATAAGGACTTATAGTTTATTAATTGGAGAATTTAGTTTATCCCCCCTCTCTATTCATCTGAAATTAATTAAGTGTGTAGAATTACAAGGTGGGTGTATCCGAGACAGCAGGCCCTGCTCGGACTAATCAAAAGGGCACATGTTGAATGAGTACAATTTAGTTAAGGTTAATCCAGTGAAGATGATACCTCCCTGGTCTTAATTACTCTAGGTGATAGATTGTGGAATGGGAAAGTAGGAAGGAAAGGAAATTCAGTCCTACTGAATACCAGGATTTTCTAATTTAATTTAGTTCTCTGTTTTCACAGAAGCAAATGGTCTCCATTGAGAGAGCAGGACCACACTCTCTGGGTTCTTGTTTAAGGTGGGTCAAAGAAAAAAAATTATTTGCTTGTATGTTTTTAAGAAAAAGACATGGGAACCAAACATGAAGGTTTCAAAGGTGTTTGTGATAACGCGCCTTTCATTACAGACATGTCAGTTTGAGAATTTTGTCACAGCTCAGTGGATTCTTTGTGATTTCTGCTGATGGTTGCTTACTTTGTTGAACTCTCTTCTGAGTGCTGAGACTGGTCAATATGCTGAAATAAATCGACATGTTTCTGTACCTACAAGACTGCATTAAAGAAATGAATATATCCATATTATTAAAAACAATACCATCTGAATATCAATAAATACAGAACTAACCACCATGGATGAATCACAAACACATAATACTAAAAGAAGCCAGACGCAAGAATACGTACTTTATGCTTCTGTTTATATACAGCGCAAAAACATGCACTAATCCCTAGTGTTACACTAGCCCCACTATAGTGAGGGTAGTGGTTACCCTCAGAGGAGTAGTCACTGATAATGCTCTGTTACATAGGTGTGTTCGCCTTATGAAAACTCATTGAGCTTACACATTTGTGAACTTAAGGCATGCATTTTTTCTGTATATATGTTTTATTTCAATAAAACACATACTTCACAAAATGAAAATAAGGGAAAAAATACTAAGAAGTAAAGGCATGGAATTGTGAACCAATGTATTTTTAAAAGGCAGAGAGGTTGAAGCTGAGGGCTGAGGATATAATTCCCAAAGAGAAAAAATGTATGAAAACATCTGGCAAAATGTTATTAGCAAGGTTTGAATGTGTTCACTTTGCCATTTTAATATCCACCCACCCTCAAACAGAATACTACTCAGTATTCATTCTTCACCAAATATAGGAATCTTTCTTGTTTCTTTTGCATGTGTTAAAGTCAAAGTCTGGATAAGGTGTTTAAGAATCTTATTCTTTGTCTCTAAGACGCAGCACTCCCTGATCCTAAAAAGCAAAAACAAAAAAAGCTTATTTTCTCCATGCACATGCATTAAAAAATCATCAGATGATTTTCTCATTTTCAGTTTTGTGATATATTTTCTTCTCAAGAGGGGATATCTGTTTCTGATTTATTAGCATTTGATCCCCTAGTTTCCTGCCATTGATCAAGCCTAATACTTAGCTCAGCTGATGAGTTTTATATGAAATCTGATATTTTAGGAAGATGGAAGGTTGAACCCATTTTTAATATTTGTTTGCCCTTCATCTCTTTCAGCATTTGACGTGCACATGAGGCACCTAACAAAGCCTAAAACTAAATTTATTTTTCACTACATCTCTCTGGTATCAAACTTTGGGAAGTAAAACATGTATTTATCAATAAAACAGATGTTTGCCCAGCATCATCCACATCCTGTCTACTGTATGTATACATTTACACTCTCCCGCCAAAACATGCCTTCACCCCACTCTTGACCGGCTGTCCGCCATTCAATCTCCAGTGAAGTCTCGGTCAATAAGGTCAACTCCCTGGAAACATCTGCATTTGATCAGTTTGTACAAAACGGGGGCCTTCTTAATACTGGACTTCCCTGAAGTCAGCTACGACAATAGTTGATTCACCACTCCTGCCCAGGCCTCCCTCAGGAAACCTTTTTTTTTTTTTTTTTTTTTAATCCCCCTCAGAGACTGTACAATGCCGAGACTAACTCCTGCTCTAATGAGCGGAGGGGCATTTGCAGCTCTGCGTCTCCCAAGCTGGCTTCACACTGGGGGAAGAATTTCACATTAACTGGAAAGATGTTCTGTCTGTTATTGCTAAAGCTAGGATGACTTGCTGTCCTTGATCCATTTCGGTACTGGGAAAGAGTAACAAATGGAATCTGATCAGAAAGTTGTCAACATGTTGTCAGCGTTTCAACCCTTCCAGACCTGGTAGGGTCAGTTCTCTGCTCCCAGGTGCACATCAGGGAGGGATTAGCATTATCCTGTATGTTGTCTTTTCTCTCTCTTTTTTGATCACATTTTCAGCATTTTGTGGTCAACATGTTATTCCAACAGAAATTCTAAAGGATAACTCTAGAACCTCTTTGTCTTTAAAGCAAAAAATAACTCTTAGGATAATCAGATAGCCCCAAGATTGTATTTTTATAGGCAGAATATAAATTTTTAAACACTTCAGTAGAATGACAAATACAAAAGAGAAATTGACCAAAAGTCTAGTGTAACCTTTTAAATTAAACACCAAACCTATGACAGAATGAAAAGAGTTTCATTAAAATGTGGGGCATCATTAAATTCATTCTACTGGTATATCATTTAGAAAATCCCCAATCACGTTATTTACAAAATTTGCTTGCCACATTTTTTAAATGTTTGGGGTTTTACCGTCCTTCATTTACAGAGAGGGTAGAACAAGAGACTGAAAAGATTAATCAGCTCCGTTTCCAATGAAGGGTTTTTGAGCTTAGTCATAGGTACCAAGCAGGAGGCAGGAGACCCACAGCACAGACCCGGTCTTCAGGAGCTGTTGGTCTAGTTGAGGGAACAAAACATGAATACCTGAAAATATACATATGGAAAAGCAAGAAGTCTCAGGTAGCCAATAAGTGGTACAGCTACAAACATGCAGATTGTCCATCGTTCCCCATGTGAAACACATCAAAACTTGTTTCTAGTTTAAGCCAAGACTGGCTCTTGGTTTAAGCCGTCTCTGTATGTGGTCCCCTCTCAGATCTCGGTGCTGCCTGTCACTATTGCTTCCCCATCACCCCATCCTCAGCTGTGTATTGGGGTTCAGACCAACCTCCATTATACCCCCAGCAGTGCTGGGCTGTAGGGCAAGTTACCGCACCACTCTGTACCCTAGGACCCTTACTCATGAGTAGTAGAACTGTCTCACAAGACAGACTGTCAGGAGGATTAAGTGACACGGTGTATGCAGAGTGCTTAAAGCAATGCCGAGTGTGTACATGGTGCTCGGTGCAGTCAGTGATGACCAGTGTTCATATTTCTGCCATTGTCCATCCCTCTCACATCAGCCAGTCCTGCTGTGGTCAATATCTACTGATTCTGTTTGAATGAAAATGAATTTGTTCTGAAATACTTCCATAAGCTGTATTTTGAATGTTCCCGGCTTTCATGTCTATTAGCTCTCCTAAACACAACCTTCTTCCCCAGAGATGGAAGACACAGGGTGACTCACATCACTGTGTTTTCCTGGAAGTGCAAAATAACAGACTGTACAAATAAAGGGACAACTTTTCCCACCACAACAGGATTAACTTTCAAAGGTCTTGCAATGGATGTAGAAACCCTTCTTGGCACCAAGGCTGGCATTTGGTCCCAAATGTCACCATTCTGGAAAACTCAATTTCTTGCAGTTTTCACTGGCCTTTATTCACGCAACTCAAATGCTTTTTCTCACGTCAGATTTTCACCTCAATCTAGTCCCACAGTCTCTTAGTCATCCCTGCTTCTGAACTGCCTGATGGCCAAAAGACCCTTGTGACTTTTCTCCAGGATTCTCCCTTCTTACCCCTTGGATGGGGCTCTTTTCTTCCCCATATCTTCTGGGGCTGCCTTTTGCTTTTCAAGATAATGTGCATCCCTTCCCCTGACTCAGCAGCTTTCTCCCTGTGGTCCAAGTTACTCCTCGTTCCTTCTCTCTTGGCAATATGCACTTTCCTGCATCACCAGCCTCTGTAACCAACTGGCTTCCAAATAAAATCCTAGTTGTCACGTTTAGGGTTATAAGCGTTGGCCATCCTGGGAGCTCTTCTTTCTGAAACAGCCTTTCCCAAGTTTCTCCCTCAGGCTTTCTCCTCAAACCAAGCTCACTGTACCCTTGGCCTTGCTCTGTCTTCCTTCTCAGGCTTTCTTCATACCTGAGGAAAGGCATACTTGTCTGGCCCTGAGTGAAGGTGTAGGGGGTTTCAGGGACTGAGGAAGGAGAGGCTGGAGCCATGACTCCTGGCCTCCCTTGGTTTGTTATGTCTTCCTCCTTATAACGATCTATTAAAACAGTTCTGGAGCCTGTCGTAACCACCTCCTTCAGAATCTCTCCTGGGACACCTGCCTGCCAGCACCATCCAAAAGCACAGTACTTTCCAGGTGAGTGTGTTGAGACTCTCCCTTCTCTGGCAATGGAAACACCTTCCCTTTTGTGTCATGTCCTCAGGGATGTTTCTTGACAAGAGCTGCACCTAATTCAGTTCTTTGTAGAACCTGGTCTCTTGCTGTCATTGGGTTAAAAGTCTCATTCAGTTATGTTAAAAGCAATTAATTTAAAATGTAAAGATAACTTGGGGTTGCTCTTAGCAGTGAAGGATAAAAAAGAGAGGATACTGAATCTCTGCTGCCACAATGGAAAATGAATGTGATCAAGGGAGGTGTTAGGGTGACCAGCCCTAGAGTGGGGAATTCCCCCAGGAGAATTCAAAGCTTGTTATGTCCCAGCAACTTTGGGAGATGGAAAGAAGTGTTCACAACAACTCCTACCTACTTTGATATGCAATTCACTAATCTTCAAGCAATTAAGATTTTGAAAATATTCACACACTAATGAGTAATTAATTACTCAAAAACATCCACTTAACTAGATTCTCCCTAACAAGTAAACATTTCATGCACACATAAGCAATTAAAGTCTTCACAATTCTAATATATCAAATTCCCCTGATTGTTTTAAATGCCTTAACAAATAAATCGACAATAATTTGATGATTACAAAACTCATCAGTTTACTTACACAATCTGTTATAAAAGGGCTAACACCGCACACTTAAATGTGATTCTTCTTTTTCTTTGTTTTTATTCAGGTCTTCTTTTGTCGAGTTGGGTATGATTTCTGCTCAACTATCCTAATGAGCCATAATTACCTTTTCAACTGAGCTAATGTTGCAAATACAGGTGGATGGTCTTAATTCATGACAAGAGACAAGGGACTGGAGTATGCTTTCCAAAATGCTGTGGTTCAAGGGCAGTGTCACACAGGCTGGGAACTTTGTGACACAGAGACTTTGTTCATTACAGCAGAACTATTCAAACTATAGGCTCTGGCCAAACAGATTTATTTATTTATTTATTTGAGATGCAGTCTTGCTCTGTTGCTCAGGTTGGAGTTCAGTGGTGCGATCTTGGCTCACTGCAACCTCCACCTCCCGAGTTCAAGCAATTTTCCTGCCTCAGCCTCCCAGGTAGCTGGGATTACGAGCATGCTCCACCATGCCTGGCTAATTTTTGTATTTTTAGTAGAGATGGGTTTTCACTGTGTTAGGCAAGCCAGTCTCGAACTCCTGTGATCCTCCCTCCTTGGCCTCCCAAAGTGCTGGGATTACAGGTGTGAGCTATCACACCTGGCCAACAGATATGTTTTTATGGTTTTGATCTCAATATTTTCCCCCAGATAATGCTTGTTCTGAATATCTTCCCTTGCCAAACATATAGTCTGATAGAAGTCAACTTTGTAACTGCTCCCTCTGAGTGTCTTCTCTTTGTTTTACAGCAGGCATAAGCCCATTTTGCAGTTGCTGGTTCCCAATGGGCTCTGTCCTGATTCTATTTTTAATTCAGGTACTTGGTAAATTTGGATTACCAAAACTACAGAGTTGCAGTGTTGATGTTCTGTATTCCATTAACTAACTACAAGACAAGTAGTTAGTTGTCAAATAGTTAGTTAGTGATTTGCCTAGGCAAGTTACTTTCCCTGAGCTCCAGTTTCCTGTCTTAGACACCATCTCTGAAGTCCAGTCACATCTAACCATCTGTGATGCTGATGCTTGAATTCTCAGTGGCAAAGTGTATGCCACATATCACATATGCTGAGGCCGTGGACTTTCAGGGGAGGGTGTAACCAGTGCGAGCTGGAGTTAGAAAAGCCCTGTGATGGAGACCACGGGCCAAGCAGAATCTTGAAGAAGGGTAGAATTAGATTGAAAGAGAAAAAAGGAAAGGACAGTCTAGAGAAGGGGAGAAACATGAGCAAGCGCTGGCAGCAAGAATTAGTTGGCCCCATGGAAGTGGCCTGCAAAGTAAAAATATTCAAGAGGAACCACAGTGGGTGCAATTACCACCAGGATGGATATGCTCATTTAGTGATGTTGAACTTGGACATGTCTCTCCTGGCAGCTCTGTTATCTGTTACCTAACATTCTTCCAACTTCACAATTGCTTGTAAGATTTTCTTTAAGGATATAATTTTAAATCCAGACATACCTTCGTAAAAGGGTGTTGCGTCTATATTCTCTGTGCCAGAGGTTGAAGGGGAAGGCTGCCATCTACCAGACCCTGAGGTTTATGAGTGCCACGGCTCTACCACCTTTCCCTCTTTGTACCCAGCCCCTGTCCTCCTGTTGCAGTTTTCTGTTGTGGCATAAGCAATGCCCCCCAACACACAAGGGCTTAAGACAACAATTCATCATCTCTCATGATTCTGCAGTGTGTCAGAGTTCAGTCAGGTGGTTCTGCTCCACTTAGTATTAAATGTAAATGGGGTCACTCCTTGACTACAGTCAGCTGCTAGATGGGCTGGGCTGGAAGGTTAAGGCAGGCTTCTTGCAATGTCTGGTGCCTTGGTGCTTCTCCATATGGCCCTTCCTTCTGTTTGGCTTTCTTCCCACATGGTGGCTCTTTTAGGGTGGTCAGACTTCTTACTCAGCTGCTGACTTCCAAGAGAAAAGAAGCAAAAGTCTTAAGAAAGAACTGTGGCTGAGGGCGGCAACTCACGCTTGTAATCCCAGCGCTTTGGGAGGCTGAAGCAGGTGGATTGCCTGAGGTCAGGAGTTCAATACCAGCGTGGCCAATATGGTGAAACCTTTGTCTCTACTAAAAATACAAAAATTAGCTGGGTATGGTGGTGTGCACTTATAATCCCAGCTGCTCAGGAGGCTGAAGGGGGAGAATCTCTTGAACCCAGAAGGCAGAAGTTGCAGTTAGCTGAGATCATGCTATTGCACTCCAGCCTGGGCAATAGAAGAAGACTTTGTCAAAAAAAGAGAAAAAAGAAAAAGAAAAGAAAAGAAAGGGAAAAGGAAAAAAGAAAAAAGAAAGAAACTGCATTTGGGAGTTTCAGAATGTCATTTCCACGGCATTCTATTGTTAAAGCAAGTCACGAGGCCAGCCCAGATCAAATAGAGATCTTGATGGGAGGAGAAGTATGCCAGGAAGAATATATATATATATATATTTGTGTGTGGGTGTGTGTGTGACAGGGTCTTGCTCTGTCGCCCAGGCTGGAGTGCAGTGGTGCAATCTCGGCTCACTGCAACCTCCACCTCCTGGCTTCAAGCAATTCTCCTGCCTTAGCCTCCCAAGTAGCTGGGATTACAGACAGGTGCCACCATGCCCAGCTAATTTTTGTATTTTTTGTAGAGACAGGGTTTCGCCATGTTGGCCAAGCTGGTCTCAAACTCCTGGCCTCAAGTGATCCTGATGGTAACCATCTTTGAGGACTGTCTACTCCGTCTCCTCCGACTCCATGGTTGTTCATGCAAGTTGCTAGAATAATTCAAACAGCAGTGGGCAAATAGACCTCAAAGCCAACACCAATCCCCATGCCAGGTGTTGGAATTTCCCATCTGTGACCAATGGCAATAAATGCTGGTGGTCCTGCTCATTTCAACTCTTTACCCTACACCTTTGTTACTGCTCTATTTCTTAAGTATCAGTCTTTCCTCCCCCTAATTAGGCCAAAAGCTCACAGGGGTAGGGGCCACCTGTTCTTCTCTCATATGACTAAATTTACCTCAAGTCAGGATGGTAGGTTCTGAAGGAAGTTGAATTTGTATAAAAGTCCATACATTCATATTTCCTGAGCACTAACTAAAGGTGTAGAGTTTAGTTATAGCAGTGAACAAACAAAACCCCCCACACTCATGTAGCTTACACTGTTATTGAGTAATAATAACAGCAATGATGATAATCATATCTACTATGTATTAAGCACCTATTCTTTCTCTACCAGATATTATGCCTGTTGTTTGACATACATTGTGCTCTTGATCCTCCCAACAGCTCTATTGTTGTCTCCATTTTACTGAAGAAGAAGATGAGACTTAAAAGAGATTATGTAATTTTCCCCCAGGCCACAGAGTTTAGTAGTGACAGAGACAGGATCCAAATCCAGGACTATGAGGCTCTAAAGTGAGGTCCATAACTTCTCTTCTGGTACTAGTTAGCAGAGCAGAATGCTGGGATTCTCAGTGCAGTTTTCAGTTATCCCAAGAACATAATGATATTGCCAAAATAAAAATAGTAGGCAGCACATGCAAGCATGCACGTGTGTGTGTGTTCATGCACATGGGTAAGGTGGTTGGTGTTAGGAAGCCTAACAACTCTAACACTATAAAGCAGTGGTTCCCAAAGTGGTCCATGAGTCAAAACTATCTTCATGACAATACTAAGACATGATTTGCCTTTTTCATTCTCTCATAAGTGTACACTGGCATTTTCCACAGCTCATATGATGTGTTATATCACAACACCCTGGATTCAGAAGCATATATGAGAATCAAGCTGGCTTCTAATAAATAAAAAGATTTTCAAAAATTGAAGTCTGTGCTAGGCTTCTCACTAGATTTTGCTGCTATTTCCGAATATGTAGTTATTTTTCATAAAAGTGTTATTTGTGTTAATACATAATGGGTTTATTATTGTTATTTTTAATGAAGTCATAAATGTTCAATTTTTAATGAAGTCATGAATATTCGATTTTTCTCAGTCTTACTTGCTAATATGGAAATTATTGATAGATATAATTCATATAAGCAAAAGTTCATTGGAATCCTTGGTAATTATTAGAGCACGAAAAGAAGTCCTGAAACCAAAGAGTTTGAAAATGCTGCTGTAATGTGTTGCAACTGGGAGAGAAAAAAGGATGCTAAAGATGTAAGTCTTCTTCCTGAGTTTTGGGGAGCATTTTCAGAGATCCAAAGGAGGTGAAATGAGATTCTTCAGGGTTAAGAGGAGAGAGCTTCCTGGAACCATGAAGAATGCTCTGAAAGTTAGAGTCAAGCTGCATGTTCTGTCCTCTCCTACCCCTGCAGTCCAGAAGCCCTGGCAGAAGCTTAAAGGTGAGACATGCTGTGCCCATTGCAGATTATGGCAGTAGCCATTTGCTAAACAGACTGAAGCTGTCTTTTGTGCTGGAGAGCCAATGCTTTAGAAAACACCACACTGGGGGAGAAGTGCATGGCCCTGACATCTGAGAGTGTTGGGTCAGGGCTGATCTTCATACACCCAATATCTACAAACAGATTTGATTCAGAAAAGAACACAGGCAAAGCAACATCTGCTAATCGTCCTGATTCTCCAGAGCAGTTAATCCTTGGCTCTGAATGAGAACTGGAAAAGCAGAGGCTTGGAAGCCAGATGATACAAATGAGGAAATGCATTGCTTTGTCATTGCTGAATGAACCCCCATCTTTAACTCCAGCTCCCTGCATTTGGGGTAAATAATCTCACTGAGCAGCTTGATTAGGTCTAAGCCACACATTTAGTTTTTCCTAAACCTTCTTTGTCACAGCTGTGAAGATGTGAACAAAACATCTACACAAGTGACTAGGTGTACCCAGCCCAGCCTCACCTGATGTGACCTTCATCAGAGAAAGCAGAAGATGACTGCAGACTGGCAATTGCATGGAACCAGCCCCAGGCTAAACAGTGACTGTTTGCTAAAAGGCTGTTAAGTCTGCAAAGGAGCTCGTCCCTGAAGCTGGGATTCCAGGCCCTGAGACAAACTGGAATAAAGTGAGTCCAGGGAGAAAAGATTCATAGCTCATGAGGAACAAATCATTGCTTCCCTGTAGAAAAGGGGCACCATAGTTCTCTTTGCTGTCTCCACCATCAGCATCTCCTTTTCCGCTCTTCTTTCCTACTCCTTGCTTGTTTCTTGTTTCACACTCTAATTTCAAGGCCATTTTTAATTTCTTCACTCTTCCTTCCTTTTCTAGGCTTGGGGCCTGGAATTCATGACACTTCTGGAGATATGAAGTACCTTCAGTTTCAGAAAATAAGAAGCACGTGAATCTCATCTTGGGTAGGTTTTCTTTAATTTGGTTAGGATAGTGATACTATCTTTACACAACCCCAGTAACGGAGATGCATGTATCTGAATATTTAGTGTCATGCCAACCACATGTTGAATTGTTGACAACGCTTATCTCAAAGGCTCTTAAGATGACAGGTAGTGCACCTCCAATGGCAGGATCCCAGGCAATGAGACAGAACAGTGTGAGTGACATTCAGGGTAGAGGAGATATTCCAGCCCTTCTGCAGTTACACCAAATGGCCAACCATCTAGTTCAATTATGTAAAAGGCAGCCTGCATCAATGTTCATCTGCATATGAGATTTGCTTGTAAACTACAATGACTTCTGATAAAATTAGCTTCTATAGCCAAGAGATATGGGGCCTTTAAGTTTCACAGTAGTAATCTTTTTTTTTTTTTTTAATTGAGCATTGCTCCAGCAAAAAGGGACCTCTTAAGCTCTTAAGGACCCATCTGTAAGAATGAGTTGACTGGGTGACTTAGCTCCATGAACAAAGAGGTAGAGCAGGATTCATTTATTTATGCAACAAATACTTAATAAAGGGTTGGGGGAACTTTCTGGCAGAATGTAGGGAGGAGGCGGATATTACTAGCTTTATTCACACCAGACTGAGCCTCCTGGGCAGCAGGACCTGCTTTGCAACCACAGCCAGAGTCTCTGAGAGAGGCCTCTCTGCCTCACAGTGAAGAATTAACCTCCAGAAATCAAGAGAAGAGGAAGAGAAGAAGAGCCTAGAGGCTCCATAATGTCAGCTTGCCACTCAGAATGGTACAGCAAGCAAGTCTTCCTTCCCTTGCTTTGCCTTCTAGAATTTGGCAGAAAAGAGCCCTCAGAAGCTCTGCATGAGCATGACTCACTTATCTCTTGAGCAGGTCAAGCGGGAGCCCTCTGCTCTGAGGCTGCTTGGAAGGGAGTTGGAAAGGCCCTTCCAGGCTCGCCCCTCAGCCACTCTCTAATGCTGGCTTACTATCCTGGTCCAAGCACTAGATCAAACCCCACTGGGAAAAGAACCAGATTAAGTCCTGTGCAGGCATTAACCCTCAGTGGGGCAGTGGTGAGGAAGCGGCAGCTGGTAAAAAATAAAAGAGAGAAGGAGGAAAGAAGGAGAAAGAAAAGAAAGAAAAGGAAGAGAGAAAGAGAGAAAGAAAGAAAGAAAAGAAAGAGAGAGAGGGAGAGAAAAGGAAGGGAGAGAAAGGAAGAGAGCGAGAGAAAGAAAAAGAAGAAAGAAA